CTTAGCTTCATCTGGCACTGACTCCTCCTCCCAGCACAGGACTGCATCCCTGAGGCTGAAAGATTTTTGCGGTCCCGTAACCCTGACCCCAAATATCATGCATGTTGCTCCACAGTCATCCTCAACTAGAAACACACAGGCACATCTAACTTAAGCCATCGCTATTAGGTAAGGAGTCAAAGTGTCCAGGGCCTTAAATCTGCCACCGCTACCTTACAGCTCACTCCTGGAATCTATATATATATTTGTATGGCAACTCTTTCCTTGCTAATATTCTCTGCCCTACCACACACATATAGGCTTACTGCAGGCTGTTTTTCTCACTTCTCATCAAGAAAAATTAACATGGAAGCAGAGTGATTTTTTTCCTATCCTCAAAGACAGTGTTTTAATATTATCCCTATAAGTCAAAGAAGTTTGAATGATTATCTCACTTAACTATGATGCTTATGCTGCCTACAAAACTGCATTCTGCTTCTAAGGGTATCTAAGTCCTGTCTTTTCTGGTTTACTTATTTCTTTTTTCTCTTTTCCTGGCACATAGGGCGATACAAACTCCTGCCTGCTCTTTTAGCCTTGCATTTTATTGCTTCGTAACAAGGTAGAGAGAAAGTAAACTCTGCCCAATTAGATGATTACAATAAATCTTCTACAGCACACAGGAAGCGAGCTGACCTTGTTAAAAGGAAATAGCTAATATTTGCTATCTTACATAATCACTTCAAGGGGATTGTTGACAGTTCCCTATACCATACAACTCAGACTAAAATTAAAGACAAATCTCATCTTAAAAAAAAAAAATCATCCCACTTAAACAACTCCCAAGTGATTTATATGAAGAGGGAGGTAAACATTTAAGTGACCAACACATCACATCTGTTTGATGCCCCAAAAAAGTGACTTTACCATAAAAGTCTGAGGTCTAACTTGTGCTGTATGTGTGGCACCAAGCACAACTGGCTTCTCTCCTGTGCATATGGCTCCAGCTTACTGTTAACACAGAAGTACTGCTCATGCAAACTGCCTCTTCCTGTGCCCAGGAGCAAGGAGCAGATCACCAGCTGCTCCATAATAGATGCCTGTAGCATCCATGACTCACTGTAATTTGAAGGCAGTATTAGAAAGATGCATCCATTACACAAGCAAGCATGGTTATTTCCACTGCAGGAGGTATTTAATTTCCTGCTGTTGCTATTCCTTAGACAGGAGAAAATCATCCATTGGGGGAACATCCCTGCTGCTGGGCTGCAGTACTGGATGGTGGTGCCACCAGAACGTGACTCTATCACACAGCAGCACAGCCTACATAGGCGGAGTTTGGTCCCACCTGCACACAACTACCACCAACACCTTTAGGTACAAGCCAGAACAACAGGGAAAGATGCTACCCATCATGAGCCCATAGGACATGGGGGCAAACACAAGACGGAGCTCACCGCAGACACTTTGCTGACAACATCCCTTGCGACGGCGAGACCCTGTGCGAAGGTGCGAGCGGCCACGAAGGCTCGCGTCACTTGTAGCTTGAGCTTCCGTGGCACATCCCCAAAGGGCTTCAGCTGCTCCGTGTACTTGCTGACACACTCGAGGTACTCATCCGTGAAGTGGTACTGGGGGTTGACCAGCCGGAACATGCGCTCCAGCAAGCGCGCCCAGAACTCATTGAGCATCTCCTCCAGGTTGACATTGCCGCCCACGTAGTACCTCTTCAGCTCCACAAAGAGGTCCTTGAACAGCTCCGAGTTCTGCATGTACAATCGGCCATATGTCCGCACGAACATGTCATTCAGTGACTTCTCAGCATTTTCGAGAAGTTCTTTGAAGAACTCTAGAAAAGAGGAAGAGAAGATATGGTAAACACAGGCATTGAGTTATATGTTTGCACACTTCTATGACCACTGCCATTGCTTAACTGGAAAATTCACAAGACCATCAGGCCAAATGAAATGGAAGGTTAAAGGACTCCCTAAAAAATTTCAAACAACCTCTGTATCTCAAAATAAACTAACCTCCCCCCACCAACATATCACCAGATTGGAAGACTTGCATAAGTGAAATCTCTTTTGATACAAATCTGAATTGTGTGACAAAATTCAGCAAAAAGACCAAAAATAAGTGCCACTTTCTTACATTTCCATTCAGCAATCTTAAAAGAAGTAATTTCAAAGCACAAAAAAGATGGTTTTGTTAAACAGATGTGTTGCACAAAATGGGTCTTTATTTTCAGTTCCTGACAACTCATTTTTTAAGATGATCATAAACCAGCCTCAAAAATTAAAAAATGTTAATACATTTTAAAAATTAATCCAAAAATCTACCTGCAGGTTCTTTCTCCCATCCTGCAAGTTTGTCATGTCCCACGGCTGGGCCTGTCTCTAATTACCTAATTGGTCCTGATTGCAGACAGGGCTTCAGATATCTGTGGCAGTGCTAAGACCCACCAAATTATGCCAGAATTTGCTCAAAATCCAAGGGCTAAACACTTGCCACAAGAACAAGAGATTTTTCAGCTGACAAAGGACAGATGGGAGCCCCTGGGATTTCTATCATTCTAAAAGCAAATCCTCACTTTGGTTCACACTCTGGGAGGACCAGACAGCCCAGAGAGCAGCCGCTGCCGAAGTGCCACATACACCTCCAAGACCAATAACCAGTTGACCTGATGATATCTGGCATGTCAGATGCAGTTTAAGGAATGTGCCCCAAACAAGACCATGCCACCAATGTCTGGGCATGTGGGTCTAAGGACAACCCACCCTGCCACAAAACCTTTGCCTTGGAGATCTGGCATAGATGAGTTCAAATAAAAAATAGGGGAGGGGTCCACTAGGCACAAAGCATTTGGGGCATTTTGGAACCAAACTCTATGCTATGTGGCCTTTGGCAGGAGCTAAGGAGACCAAGGGTAGGTGCTGCCAGGACAAACCGTCCCATGCCAGCAGTGCTGCTGCCTGCTTGCTCCAGCCCCGCAGGGAACACCAGCACCCTGGGTCATGGGTGCAGCCTCTCCACTGCTACACACAGCGCAGGCAAGAAAGCATATTATTTTATGCATGCCACCAGCAATTGAGGATTCTGACCTCTGCTTTTCTGTGACTCATATTCAATAAATATTTTTTAATAAAACATGCCTCTGCGGTTTTTTAAATCCTCAAAGGAGCAATGTTTAGAGCCAGAAGTTGTTAGAAGGAGGAGGGGGAAATATTTTGGCCCAGTGTGAATTTAAACCTTGTTAAAAGACATTAAAACTATGCTGAAGTTCAGATTTTCGTCTTCAAAGTGCTCCAGTACAAACAAAGCCTAACACAGAAAACATTTTCTGGAAAAACTGAAACATTCTTGGAGTTCCTGATGAACAAAGTCATGGGGTTCAGTGCCTGACATGGCTGTATATAATGCAGCCTCTTAGGAGCACAAGAGAAATGATCCAGGGAAGAGGAGATTG